CCCGATGATTGCGTACGTTGCAATTGCGAAGGTTCCTCTCAAGTCGCGAGTCGCAAATCTGACAAATTCGCACTCGCCTTTCGGATTCGCGGGTAATTGCGCGACTCTCTCCCCTTCCCTCAGTCCACCAACTCGATCCCTTTGATCTCGCCGAATCGGAATCGGAATCATCCGGCAGCTATGCCTTTTGAGGAGCAGGGGAAGCCACCCCCACGAGGTCTTATCTCTTAGCAGTAATATATACTTTATTTAAAATTAGGTTAGCTATCTATAATTTGTAGTGGACAAGTTGTCTAGCTAGTATGACAAGTTCTGCTATAACTTTTTTTTTAAAGAATCATTTGGCTGTGAATGTCAGGGTTCTGATTAAAAAACCAAAAGATAGAGTCGATTTTTCCAGATTATGGCCAAAAATATTTTCATAAGGGGTACCTCCATGTTTTTTTTCGAAAATTTAAATTGTTTAGCTGTGAACGCCGCTTGATTGGAAATTTTATAACTAATTCAACGATCTATGACATATCAATATCTGACCACTATTACGTAGAGTTCGGTTTGAAAAACCGAAAAATAGACCCATTTTCATGACAGTTTTTTCTAATTTTCCGCTGTCTTGTAAAAGAGTGACCCAAAATTGGACTTCGAGAGTCCATAACTTTACCAAATTTAAGCCGATTCGAAAGTGGCATACCTCTAAAGACTTGTGATTCGATTCTCTAAAAATCTGCTTTAAAATTTTTTAATTTTACGTCGATCACATTTTTGACCCATTTTCATGTTAGTTATTTCTAATTTTCGGATGATTTGAAAAAGAGTGACCCAAAATTGGACTTCGAGAGTCCATAACTTTACCAAATTTAAGCCGATTCGAAAGTGGCATACCTCTAAAGACCTGTGATTCGATTCTCTAAAAATCTGCTTTAAAATTTTTTAATTTTACGTCGATCACATTTTTGACCCATTTTCATGTTAGTTATTTCTAATTTTCGGATGATTTGAAAAAGAGTGACCCAAAATTGGACTTCGAGAGTCCATAACTTTACCAAATTTAAGCCGATTCGAAAGTGGCATACCTCTAAAGACTTGTGATTCGATTCTCTAAAAATCTGCATTCAAATTTTTTAATTTTACGTCGATCACATTTTTGACCCATTTTTATGTTAATTATTTCTAATTTCCGGATGACTTGTTTAACGTTGACCCAAAATTGGACCTCGAGAGACCATAACTTTACCAAATTTAAGCCGATTCCAAAGTGGCATACCTCTAAAGACTTGTGATTCAATTCTCTAAAAATCTGCATTCAAATTTTTTAATTTAACGTCGATCACATTTTTGACCCATTTTCTTGTTAGTTATTTCTAATTTTCGGATGACTTGTTTAACGTAGACCCAAAATTGGACTTCGAGAGTCCATAACTTTACCAAATTTAAGCCGATTCCAAAGTGGCATACCTCTAAAGACTTGTGATTCGATTCTCTAAAAATCTACATTCAAATTTTTTAATTTAACGTCGATCACATTTTTGACCCATTTTCATGTTAGTTATTTCTAATTTTCGGATGACTTCTAAAAGAGTGAATTAAAGTTGGACTTCGAGTGTCCATAACTTTACCAAATTTAAGCCGATTCCAAAGTGGCATACCTCTAAAGACTTGTGATTCGATTCTCTAAAAATCTACATTCAAATTTTTTAATTTAACGTCGATCACATTTTTGACCCATTTTCATGTTAGTTATTTCTAATTTTCGGATGACTTCTAGAAGAGTGAATTAAAGTTGGACTTCGAGAGTCCATAACTTTACCAAATTTCGGCCGATTCCAAAGTGGCATACCTCAAAAGACTTCTGATTTAATTCTCTAAAAATCTGCATTCCAATTTTTTAATTTAACGTCGACCCATTTTCATGTTAGTTGTTTCTAATTTTCTAATGACTTGTTTAACGTTGACCCAAAATTGGACTTCGAGAGACCATAACTATACCAAACTTAAGCCGATTCCAAAGTGGCATACCTCTAAAGACTTGTGATTCGATTCTCCCAAAATCTGCATTCAAATTTTTCAGTTTAACGTTGATCAAATTTTTTCGAATTATGGCCAAAATAATTGTCATATTATTTCGTAATTATTTTTTTTTTTGATTGTGTCCAAAAAATCAATTTCTAAGGGGATAATTTTTTTATAGATTCTCCCTTTTTTAAATGGGCTTAGATTTGTTAAAATAATCGGTATTCATTTTAAGTTTTTCCTTAAGTTAGATGTTTTCAAGGAGCCTCCCCCTTAAAAATAAAAAATGTGTATCTGTTTGATAGACTTCTAATTGTTCGAAAAAATAAACAATTTAAAACGTATTAATAATGAAACATAGCTCAAAAAATGTATCATTTTTTCATATTATTTTATTCCGCTAACCGGCTGTTTCATGCGAGCGGTTACCGTTCGACTGATAACAGTTATGGCGATGCCCGGCGACCCCTACTCTGAACCCCTCCCCCCTTTACCGCCCACTAGCCCTCACCTTGTAACTTGGTGGCACACATTGTGCTCCCCCCGCTCCCACTCTCTTTTTGTTATAGAGGGGGTGGCGCGCTATCCCTCTCTCTCAAAAATTTCTCTCTGTTTCGCTATGCTACCTGTGAGCAACCAAAGAGAGAGCGGCAGGTGGGGGCTGGGGGTGGATGGGTTAAGGCGAGGGGTGGTGGTAGAGAGAGGGGCGGAGAGCCAATCGATGACGAACGCGCGTGTGCGACGCCACATATGTGTGCGTGTGTGCGAAAGTGCGTGCGAGTGTTTGCATATGTATATGTAAGGATAGAGCGCCAATCTATATGCTATACAGCACACAGAAAAACTAGGAGATCTCGAGGGTCCTCATACAAGATCAACATTTTAGGATACAATAAGAAATATTTTATTGTAAATATTGAACCACTTTTATTTTTTTATGGATAATACAATGTCCTAGCCTGGTCAACATATATCCTCAAAGAAGTATATTTGCCATTGTGGTTTCTGTAAGTTCAGTAGGTAATAACAATGATGCAAAATTTCTCATATTCTAGATTGAAAGCTTCACTACCACATTTAAGTTTTGAACATAATATAAATAAAATAATATTTCTTGTAGATCCAAAAACAGAACTAATGGCGATTTGTACATGTCAAATCAATATTTAATCCAAAACCCCATATCTAACATCAAATCCAAAATGAACGGGCTAAAGGGCTATTAAATAAGAAGGGGAATAATGTTTGGAAAAAGACTCGGACCCTAGAAAACCTATCACCCCCTAACCACACACCCCCGTAACCCCCACTTCCCCAAACAATTAACAACAAAAACAATTCGCACACACACCAAAAACAAAAACCACACACACACACTGTCGCACAATTGAAGCTCACATATGTGAGAGTGCGCTGATTCTCATACGTACATATATTTGTACATATATGAGATATCAAAAGAGCCTGACATTAATGGCAGCAGCGACGTCGACTGCGGCAGCGACGCTGACGGAGAGCGTCCAGTTTTTTGTTTTGCTTGATACTTTTTTTATGTTTTTTGTTTGGGGGCCAGCAGGCAAACATGTTCGATGTTGTGGTTGCAAGGGTGTGAGGACTGGTGCCAAGAAAAGGAGTGGGGGCTGGGGGAAGATCATTCATTCAGGGATGCACCTTAACCCTAGAAAGTCCACCTCCCAACCCCCACCCACATGACCTTTAAAGATCTCTGAGAGCTTGCAACATGTTGCTAGCTTGTCGATTCAATTTGGCTATCCAAGTTGCATGCAATAAGTCCGAAGCTAACGAAGCTGCATCAGACGCTTTTGGACAGTCGAACGACGAGGACGTCCGTGACAAAGCGGAATGATATGGTTCCCTAATGTTAAGAACACAATGAAGAACAAAATATATTTAATTTGTATCTTCCTTATCTGATTGATTGGTAAACTTAGCAACTAAGTTAAAAACTAATAATGTATTAAAAAGTTATTAATTTTATTAAATTCCTCCTAAACCAAATTTACGTATCCCGCCACACTTAAAGTACAGACCTGATTAAATGTACATATGTATGTTCGTATCAAAACACTTACATTTGTTGAATAACACAACAATTTTAGTCAAGGCTTTTAACATTTATTCCAAGAACCAGCAGAAAGTTAACGTTGGCATGGTCTTAATTTTGTTTAAAATAATATGGTCAACAAGTTATCATAATAGCTTATTTATAATTAAAGATTATTGCAAATATACATATGTACTTACATATGTACTTATAAAGATATTGGTATAGTCATCTATTGAGAATTTACATTTACTCACGGAACATTTAAACATAGAAAGTTTATGTTTCTTTATTTTCAATTTGTTATTTAAGTTAAGAAGTCAAGACACAATGCTAGGAGTTCGGTGAAACGCTTAGATATTTTATAATTTTTGGCTCAGTGCAATTTATTACCTACGTGATCCTATCTCGAGTTCCTTTTTTTATTGCTTTGATTTTCAGCGCGAAGGTGCGCGCGCGCCTTAAACGCTTGTGGACTTGTGGTTATTTGTTGTTATCCTGTTTGTGTCCTGCCGGCAAGAGGGTTGCAAAAGCCTGTTTCAAGGCGAGCACACAAATCTGTATGTAAATCCGTCGATTGACCAGAGTGACCAGTTTAAACGGCACCACCCCTTGCGATTCGACTAGCATGTGTTGTCCCGCTCTAGCACGCGAGCGGGTGTTTCGCTGTCCACCCCCACATACGCACACACACATGACCGGCGGCAAATAAACAAACGCCCGTTGCCACCCAACAACAACAACAACAGCAAGGCAACCCACCACCGCACCACCCGAAACAAAATAAAAAAACACCGTTAAGAAAGGGCTGCGTTGGCGTCGACGTTGCGTCGGCGTTGACGTCGACCGAAAATCAAATTGCCAGATTGGCATTAAAGTGCAAAAGCCTGAAATAAAATTGAATTATCTGCAGTCGCTCGCAGGACATCGTCGCGTTCGGACATGTTCGCCTAAGCTCCCGCTCTCTCTTGCTCTCTATCTCTCTGTCTGTGACGCTCTCTCCCGCTCGCAAGCTTTCGTCTCGCTTGCAACGCGTTCGCTCGGGCTCGTTCGCGTTCGTTCGTGTTCGCTCAAGTTCGCTTGTGTGGGCTGAGCTTGGTGCTTCAGTGTGTTTGTGCTTTGTCGCACCGTGTCTTGTTGTTATTTCTGCCTAGCTGGACAAAAGCTGCGGCGCTGCAACAGCGACGCCGCCGAGAGCAGCGGCAGCGAAGACGCGCTCGCCGCTAAAACGTCGCAAGTAGTCGCGTACTTCCGTCGTTACCGTTAGCACCACACACCACACAAAACGGAGCTGCTAACCGCCGCCAAAACACATAAAAAACACCGCTTTTTACCGATTTACCGTTAGCCGTCGCGGCAATAACTAACTCCCAAAACAAAAACAAAATAAATAAATATAGAAAAATTAAAACGAAAAATAAAAACCGAAATACAAAACAAAATCAAAAATACACACTTTGTGCAATTTTTTTCAAGTGTCTCGGCGTGTGTTATCAACAAAAAATACAAAATCCAATTGGTTACATACACATACATACAGCAAGCAGCCTACAAAAAACCAATTGGTTTTCTTTCTACACAAATGAAGCCGCGTGCGTATGTGACAACAACAAAACTGCCAAACAAACAACAAATCCTTTAAAAAATAGAGCCCCCGTGCAAAAGGTTCCTATACTACAAGAAAAATAGAAGCACAGATCACAAAAGTCATACAAAAAACAAGTGACAAGTGTATTACTAAAACATAATTTTTTTTTGGAAAATGGCAGCCCTAGAAAAGCCCCCAAAAACCAAACTGAAGCTGTCTGATTAGAAAATTTAAAAGCTAGAGATTCCAATTAGTGTATGTGTGATTTTTTTTAAGCCAAAAAACAGAGGAACGTGCAATATAAATAAATAAAGGAGAGTAGGCCTAAGCTAAAAAAAACAATAAATTATAGAACTTTACAATAGAAAGCCAATTGGAAGTTGGCACCCCAGTTGGAATTGGGAGATCGGCAGGACATTGCCCTTCGCTGGGTTTGTGTGCCTGTGTCTGCGAAGTTTTGAAACACCTTCGGAAACTGGAAACAAAAATGAGAATTAAAATGCCCGCGGTTCGAATTGCACAAGGTAAGTGAGATTGCAATTGGGATGGGGGTAAACTTTTCCAGCTGGGATATCCCAATTGGGCTGTTCTTTTACGACGTAGCGCAAACAGCTGATGGAAGTTTTTGTCAGGTGCTGATGAAATTTTTATGGTCTTAAGAACGTGGGAAATGGATTATTTTTAAGGAGCCTTAAACTGAGTGTTAGAACTAGATAGTGTTTAACAAAAAAATTATATGTTGTAAGATAAGAATTTAAAGCCTATTTAAATTAGATTATTCATATAAAGATATTATTTAAGAAGCCTGGCAATAAGATACATATGGTGGAATAAAACTATACTATACTATTAGTAAATATTTTAAAAGGATTGACATCTGAATGCTTATTATTATTTTTGTCAAATATTTTAAAAAGTTTTTTACTCTATTCTAAAAATTGTTTTATCACATTTTAAAATAATCATTGTCCTCTTATAAATGAATAAGCCAACTGATAAATATGAATAGATGCAAAATATTTGCAACCTGTTATAAAAAAAAACAGTCTCACCTTTCCATATGGGACAATTTCATAACTGACCAATATCGTTAACATCACTCATTAACCTATTTCTTTTAGCAATAGGCTTATGTTAGCCGTTTTGGTTATGAAAGTAATACAAATGTAAACATTGTGAATAGATAGTGATTATATAACTAAACAGTTCTATTAATATTGGGGTCACCAGCTCCATACTTTCAGTGGAATTTAGGATGTGTTAACGTGCGCCTATGGTCAGGCCATATCAGTCGACCATGTCACACCTTCACCGTATACCCGCACCCCTTTGCGCCATATGGAAGGTCTCCTTCTGCTCGCTTTTTTTTTTGTTTTGTATCTAGTCGAGTTATCGCTGCGATATCGCCATGCCTAAATCAGAGCTCGCCTAGGTGTGTTCACAATGATTTTTCAGATTTTTTTTTACTCGTTTCACATTTGTACAATCGTTGTTCCTGGAGATTGCTTTATTTTATATTCCACTCGGACATTCCGTGGAATTTCCTTACCGAGTTGGCGATTTTTGGGACGAGAGACGAGTCGGAAAACGGCTTAGTTCAAAGGGAAATCAGGGCCGTAAAGTCATAAAGCTTGGATAGCGGGCCACATTCGTATGCCTTGGCCATATCGTTGTCATAATATATGGATTGTCCCCCGCCATAAAGCCATAATTATTTTCGCTCGTTTTTTGGGGCCCGGTTGGAGCTGCTTTTTTTGCACAGATTTTCCATTTGCCGAGTGAGCAAGCAGTGTTATCAATCTTATCTAGATAGCGATACAGAGCGAGTGGACAGTGACGCACTTGACTCGGCCAGTTGCCCACTCCCAAGTAATTTACCCGCTATTTGGAGCCCTTCTCGATCCCATCCCCATGTCGTCAAACAATTTTAATTGCTCGCAAAGTTGTTTGCTGTTCTGGTTTTTTTTTTCTTTTTCGTTTTCGGTCTATTTGTCTTACAAATCAAAATCAACAAAGCGGGGTGGCTGCACCTGTCCCTCGGTCGTCTTTTTTTCCAGGTAATATAGTGGTTGTGATAAGAGGAGGCCTAATTGCTGACGATCGGAGCTTGGACGTGTTTTCAGATGGAGAGCATCGGACCTGGAGCACTGGTACCCATCCTTATCGATATCTGCTGTCCCCAAAATTGCTGTTGTTAGCCTCTTTCATTTCCCCCCACCCTGCCACCATATCCATTCTATCATAATTAATTGCTACAATTTCAATTTCGATTCTTTTTTTTTTCCCCCAACCCTCACAATTCTTTTTTTTTGTATTCGTCTTTTTCGCTTGTTGACATTTTTCTTGTAGTGGGAATCTTTTTGATCTCCGACAGCAACAAAAACAATATGAGTCTTACAGCATTTCGTCATGCCGCCCATGGGTGCTCTTCTTATCGGGAACATGGGTTAAAAGGGGTGGCCGCGGGGGGACAATGGGCCTGATGAGTAATTTCCGAGAACAAGTCGCAATGTTCATGTACGACAAGTTATTGAGAGTGCCTAAAGTGGATGGGAGAAGTGAAAATCGAGGGGGTGGGAAAGCATTCACCCCCATTTTCAGGAAGAAACATATCGCTTTTTGAGGGCGGGGGATCTTGCGAACTTAACGGTTTAATTGGAATCGGCCTTTAGCCAATGCAATATATTCTAATTTACAGCTTTTAACTTTCGATACTTCAATTTATATTCGTTATGAAGAAATAATATTTATAAAAAAAATCATCTAAATAATAAATAGCGACATTTGTATATAATTTTTTTAATTATTTATTTTTCTAAATTAAAATATATACATTTATATAAAACTTTAAGCCAGCTAAAAAACAGCCAACTAATCAATGAATTTGTAAGCAATTAAAATATTCGATTAAACAAAAAAATTTCAGCTGCCGGCCAGTTAATTCCTGCATATCCTGCATGCCGTTGAGCTTGAGTGAACAAACATCCTGACGGGGATTCGGTATAGGGTTCGATTCTATATGGTCAGCGTTAATCGAGCGGCACGCTTCTGGGTCCACCGATTGCACCTGCACGTGCCCACACTTAGCCCGCTGTTGGCCCCTTAACCCTTCATTGACCCACCTGACTGACTGACTGACCGGGGGGTTTGTTTTTGCCCGACGTTGGTTGGACATCTCACGGTCGTCCTAGCGCCTGCTCTTGTTTTCCTTGGCTCCTTTTTTTTGCAGCTTTTTTAGCTTTTGCCTTTTTTGTACCTTGGTTTTCTTTTAATTTGATTATCGACCAAACAGTGTCCATTAAATGAGCGACCGACCGACCAGGCGACCGCTGCCGCCTTTTTTGTTATCCTGCTCCTGCTCGCCATGGCAACGTCCTCCTCGCGTTTTCAGCTTTTGCAATTGTTATAACAAATAACAGCGGTGCCCCTGCCCCAGCCCCTCTGCCACTCCGCCCCCCGAAACGCCCACTCCCCGAGAGTCCTGCACCCGCAGTGTCAACGTGTCGTCATGTGGACGTCAAACTTTTGTCCAGCTGCGGCCACAGTTTTGGATGTTGGATGTTGGCTGTCGGATGGTGGGTCCCAAAAGGACGCAGGGGAATCGGAATCTCTGGGCTGAATGCCAACTCTCGTATTTATGTATAATTAAACGGCTCAAAAATACGCCTGCATAGGCGAAAAATTGGCGAGTCATTTTATGCTAAAAACAATTGCCCAAAAACATTCACTAGTTTTGAGATTTGACTAGTTAACTTAAAAGTTTCAAAACCAATTAAATATAATCATTAACTAGCATTCCAATTGTTTAAAGTAGTTATTAAGTTCTTAGCTCAGTTATTGTAAAAAGAGCTGATTGCTACTACATATGAATATACAAATTTTTAACTGATAACAATTCTAAACGTTTTAGCAGTACTGATTTTCTTATAAATAGTCCAAGAAATAATTTCCTCAATTCAAAATGTGGTATATAATCACCTTATAAGGGCTAGTAATTAAAACGTATGGTTTTATCATAGATCGATATAACTATATTACCTTTTCAGCTGTAAACATAGTAAAAAAAATATTATTCCATTGCCCTTAAGAGCTTTTAGATTTCTAAAATACTTCAAGGGTCTGTTAATTTTTCTTTCGGTGTAGGAAGGGGAACTGCTGCATTTGAATGCTCGCGGGGGGCAAGGACATGGCGGATATAAATTGAAACTGGCCCGTTCTGGGCTGCTCAGCGGGAGAGACGCCAGCGCCGCTCACATGGTCCAGACACCGGTCCCCCGTTCCACCCATGAAGCCCCCTGTTGACCCCCTGCAGCCCCCCTTTAACCCCCTTTTCGAGCCCTTTTTTCCCACTGGCACTGCCACTGGCAGCATAATCAGCCACAACAGCGCTCAGCGAGTTACTTCCGCTGCGGCGAGTCTGAGAATCAGACGGAGACTAAAACTAAAAACAGAGGTCCAAACTGTCTCGCTAGGTGCATCCGTTTTGGCCAGCCCTGCATGTCCTGGGAGTCGTCAGAGTCCTGGGAGTGCCACCCGTTCTCCCCTTTAGCTTTCATATTTTTCTGAATTGTTTTGCACCCGCCTTTGTTTTCCACTCGCTTTTCGGCCTTTGTTCGGTTTTGTTTGCCGACTTTTTTAATTTTTAAAGTTTTTCACTGGCACAAAAAGCGCGCATGAAGCGAATAAGTGTGAACGCTTTGGGTATTATTCGCTGACTTTTATTAACCAGCTTCGCTTTTCTGATTTGGGTTTTTATTTTATGACCAGGGGAAACACAATGAATAAGCCCGAATAAGCAGTTGAAAGCCATGAAATAATTATTTTTTATTTACTGACCACCGAATTTGAAATATTTACTAATTTATGATATATTTAAATACTCAACTGTTAAACTATAAGGATATATTTTTTTTGTAATACTCATTTACTTTATAAACAGAAAAAAAAGTAAGAAAATGCTTTTAGATGGAGTAAAATTAAATCGGGCTGTTTCTAACTCAATTTTAAAAAATTAGAGGAAGTAATAATGTTATAAAGATATTCAAGAGCAAATAGCAAGCAATAACTCTCGTTAGCACACTTGTTATTATTTTATTTGGACAGCCAACTTGGCGTATACTTAACCTCTGTCAAGAATAAATAAGAAGAAAAACCCCAACGACGGGGAATCCCAGCAAATGACCTGAAACAGAAGCTAACAAGTTAATGAATCTTTTACTCTTTTGCCTGCGTTTGTTTTGACGCGCATTTTCTTAAGGTTTTTCTCAATTTTTGGTGTGCCGGCTTTTCTTTTTTCATTTTTTTTTTACTTTATGATGTCCCGCCCCGCACTTTGGCAAACTTTTCACTTTCAACGGCGAACGGGGGCTGGTTGGGTGGGGTGCATCAGAACTTGGCACCTTTGTCATAGTTAGAGCACCATCGCCACCCCCAATTTCCCCCCTTTTGTGTCTCTGCAAACACAATTTCTTTTTCTCGCTTTTCTTTTATATATTTTTTTGCTACTTTTTCTGTTTTTAAGCGC